CCCAACACAGCCAAATATAAAAATAAATAAATAAATTTATTTTAAAAATAAAGTGTCCAATTCAATGTTTTTTGTATGTTTATGGATATGTGCAACCATCACTATAATCAATTTTAGAACATTTTCATCACCTCAAAAAGAAACCCCATACCCCTAAGCCATCACTCTGCCCCACCTCACCTCCCTGCCTCCTCCAACCCTAAGCAAACATTAATATGCTTTCTGTCTCTATAGACTTTACTCTTCTGGACATTTCACATGAATGGAATCACATAACATGTGATCTTTTTGTCCGGCTTCTTTGACTCAGCATAATGTTTTTAAGGAGCTCCCTCTGGCTAAACCTGGGACAATTTGAGTAGCAAAAGAAATAATGATAGTAATAGGTTATAACCCACTGAATAAAGTAGGAAGTCACCAGTCCATAATAGGTCAACAGATACATATGTAGGTAGGCAAATAGATAGGGAAGAAGTGTAGCATGTACATGTAGTAACATGTATCAGTATTTCCTTCCTTTTTGTGGCTGAATAATATTCCATTGTGCAGGTGTATCACATTTTGTTTATTCATTTGTCAGCTGATGTACATTTGGGTTGTTTCCACCTTTTGGCTATTATAAGTAATGCTGCTGTAAACATTTGTGTACGTGTTTTTATGCAGATATATATTTTCATTTATCTCAAGTATATATATACATCTAGGAGTGGAATTGCTAGGTCAAATGATAACTCTATGTTTAATAATTTGAGGAACTGCCAGACTGTTTTCTAAAGCAGCTGCACCAGTTTACATTCCCACCAGCAGTGTTTGTATGAAGTTTCCAATTTCTCCAAATCCTCATCAGCACTTGTTATTATCTGACTTTTTGATTCTAGCCATCCTAGTGAGTGTGAGGTAGTATCTCATTGTGGTTTTGATTTTCATTTCCCAGATAATTAATGATGTTAAGCATCTTTTCATGTACTTAATGGCCATGGCTGCTTCATTTCTTAAGGATAATTTTGCCGGATATGGAATTCAGGGTTGACAGTTCTTTTCTTTCAGCACTTGAAAAATGTGCCATTTCCTTCGCTCCACCATGGTTTTGGGTGAGAAATCTGCTGTCACTTTAATTGTTTTTCCCCTATAGGTAAGGTGTCATTTCTCTCTTGCTGATTTCAAGATTTTTTCTTTGTCTTTAGTTTTCTGAAGTTTGACTATAATGTGTCTTCGTATAATTTCTTTGGTTTATCCTTTTGGGGTTTGCTCAGCTTCTTGAAACTCTAAGTTGATATCTTTTGCCAAATTTGAGAAATTTTCAGCTATAATTTCTTCAAATACTTTTCAGCCCCACACTTTCTCCTCTCTTTCTGGAACTCTGATGACATGAATGCCAGATCTTTTATTATAGTCTCAGAGGTCCCTGAGGCTCTGCTCATTTTTTTTCCAGTCAATTTTCTTTCTGTTGTTCAGATTGGATCATTTCTATTGTTCTGTCATCAAGTTCTCTAATTCTTTTCTCTGTCCTCTCTATTCTGCTGTTGAGCTCTTACACTGATATTAAAATTTTAGTTATTCTATTTTTCAGTTCTAAAATTTCCATTCTGTTCTTCTTTATATCTTTTTTTCTGAGACTTTCTGGTTTTGCATTTAAGTATATTGAAGCATTTTTTAAAAAATAATAACAAAGTACTGTTAGCACAGGGACAAAATGTTCCCCTGATGACTCTAATGCATAGCCAGGCTTTTTTTTATATATTTATTTATTTGTTTGGTTGCTCCAGGTCTTAGTTGCAGCAGGTGAGCTCCTTTGTTGCAGCTCACAGGCTCCTTAGTTGTGGCATGTGAACTCTTAGTTGTGGCATGCATGTGAGATCTAGTTCCCTGACCAGGGATCAAACCCAGGCCCCCTGCATTGGGAGCACGGAGTCTTAACCACTGTGCCACCAGGGAAATCCCTGAAGCATTTTTATAATGGCTGCTTTAAAATCCTTGATAATTCTAACATCTGTGTCATCTCAGTGTCAGTGTCAGTTGATTGTCTTTTCTCATTCCAGTTAAGATTTTCTTGCTTCTTCACATGATGCCTGATTTTCAATTATGTCCTGGATATTTTGGGCACTCTGAGACTCTGGATATTATTTAAATCTTGTGTTTAGCAGTCTGCCTCCAACACTGTTCTGCTAAAAAAAGGAGAATCTCCTTCTTACTGCCAGGTGGAGGTGGAAGTTCAGGTCCCTAATTAGCCTCCTTTGACACCCCAGAGGGGACAAGCACTTTGTTGATCCTGGGTGGAGGTGGAATGTCATGCTCCCCACCAGACCACTTCTGACACCACCCTGGTGGGGAGACAAAAAGGTACCTCATTACTGTGTTGGGGGTAGAAGTTCAAGATCCCCACATAGCCTAAATTGACACTGTGTGGGAGGGGCCTCATTATCCCCAGGCAGGGATGAAAACCTAGGCTCCCCACTCAGCCTTTGCTGATGAAAACTGGGATGGGAGCTGCAGCTTTTTTCTGTGATGCTTGGCTGGAGTAGGGCAGTAATTATCTAAATTTTTCTTTCTTGTTACATTGGCCCTTTCCTGGTACTTTGGCTAGAGAGAGCAGGCTTTCTTGGGACTGTTTTTATCTGCACCAGTTGGCATTCTGGGTTGCCAGCTTCTCCACCACACAGTCCAAGATATATGGGGTGAAAAGAAAACTCAGGGAAATCACTGCTGTGTCACTCCTCAGGTTCCAAGGTCCCTAGGCAGTTAGCCTCCTTCTCTCCAACTGACAGTCTTCTTATCTTTTTTTTTTTATATATAATGTCCAGCTACTTAGCAGGAGAAATAGGGAGAATTGTATCTGTTCCATCTTGAGCCCATTGGTAACTTTTAAACTTAATTTTTTAATAGGTAATACATTCACATAGTTCTTTCCCCCAGTCCCACAGATTTCCCTAACCAAGAAACCAGTCTTGATTAGTTGGTGGGTGGGTGGGTGGATGGGTGGTATATGCTTATAGATTATGCAAATAAAAGCAACTAAGAAAATATCCTTCATATTTTTCCACAGATAGTAGATACTGTTACTGTTATGCTGAACACTGATTTTTAAAATTACTGTTAATTTTAAACTTTTTTATCATGAAATATTACACACATTTTGAATAATGCTGCTGTAAATACTCTTGAACATGCCTCTTGTTGCACATGAGCACATATTCCAATTGAGCATATTTCCATGGATGGAATCACTGTGTCCTTGTGTATGCATATTTCAACATTACCAGGTAAAGCCAAAAGGTTTTCCAATATGGTCATCCAATTTACAGCTCCATTAGACATGTGAGAGTTTTCGTTGCACCATGTTCTCTTCAACACTTCATATTGCCGTTCTTCAAAAAACTTTTTTATTGGGGTATAGTTGATTTATAATATTATATACGTTTCAGGTGTACAACATAGTGATTCACAGTTTCTAAAGGTTATACTCCATTTATAGTTATTATAAAATGTTGGCTATATTCCCTGTGCTGTACAATATATCCTTGTTGCTTATCCTTGTATGCTTATACATAGTAGTTTGTACCTCTTAATTCCCTACCCCTACCTTGCCCCTCGCCCCTTTCCTCTCCCCACTGGTAACCACTTGTTTGTTCTCTATGTCTGTTAGTCTGTTCCTGTTTTTTGTTATATTCACTAGTTTGTTTTATTTTTTAGATTCCACATATAAGTGATATCATATGGTATTTGGCTTTCTCCTTTCACTTAGCATAATACCCTACGAGTCCACCCATGTTGTTGCAAATGGCAGAATTCCATTCTTTTTATGGCTAAGTAGTATTCTATTGTATATATATACCACATCTTCTTTATCCATTCATCTGTTGATGGATATTTAGGTTGCTTCCATGTCTTGGCTATTGTAAATAGTGCTGCTTTGAACATTGGGGTGCATGTATCTTTTCAAATTAGCATTTTTGTTTTCTTTGGATATATACCCAGGGGTGGAATTGCTGAATCATATGGTAGTTCTGTTTTTAGTGTTTTGAGGAACTGTTTACCACAGTGGCTGCACCAATTTACATTCTCAACAACAGTGTACAAGGGTACCTTTTTCTCCACATCCTTGATATTGCCAGTGTTTTTCATTGAAGACATTGTAGAGGTTGTGTAATGGTAACTCATTATGGTTTGAATGTGCATTCCCTGGTTACTAAGGAAGTTAAGCCCTTTTTGTGTTTATTAATGCCTTGGATTTCCTCTTTTGTAAAATGCCTGTTCAGACCTTTTGCCCACTTTTCTACTGGTGATCTCTCTCTTTTTTAAAAAAATTGGTTTGTAAGTGTTCTTTACATTCTCTAGATATGAGCCCTTTGTCAGTAATGTGTTGCAGATATCTTCTATTTGGTGGCTTTTCTTTTTTTTCTCTTATAATGCTGTCTTTTAAATGCTGTCTCTTCATTGGAGACAGACATCAATCTTTTTCTTTATGGTTAATGTTTTTTGCATCCTGTTTGAGAATTATTTTCATAATCCAAGATGATGAAGATATTCATCTCTACTATGGTTTTTTCTATGTTATCTTTTAAAGGCTTTATTGTTTTGCCTTTCCCCCAGTACATTTCTTCCAAATGCCTTTTAGCCCCCTTTGTATCTTCTTATGTTGGTTGTCCAAGTTGTTTTATATTTTAGTCAATTCTATATTGCCATTGCCTGGCACATAATCAACCAGTAAATGTATTGTATGTAGTTCCTACGTTAACTCGAGGACTTAAAGAGAGCCTATTTTAATCCTCATTTTTGCAAAAAGAGGGACTGAATGAATAAATGAATGAATTTAATACACAGTGAATGTCAAGATACTTCAATATGTTTTTCTCTCACAAAATAAAATGCAAAACTGGGTGCTGGGTGAAAATCCTACATGATACATTATGGTAAAAGTCATTAAAAACAACTTCCCATTCCTCTTCCCTCCATCCTCCAGTGCTGACCATGTCACCTTGAACAGGACTGTGTTGTTACAGGTGTCATTCAAGGATGTGACTGTGGACTTCAGCAGGGAGGAGTGGCAGCACTTGGACCCTGCTCAGAGGCTCCTGTACCGGGATGTGACGCTGGAGAACTATAGCCACCTGCGCTCAGTGGGTAAGCACAGCCAGGGGCCTCAGAGAGGCTGCTTCCATTCTCAGCTGCTGAATGCTCTGGGGCATCTGAAGTGTGTGATGGTGTCATCCTTGATTTGCCCGAGATTCTTCAGTCTTTTTCACGTCTGTGATTATTACTCTACTCCCAGTGAAATGGGATTACTTTCCTGAAGAGCAAATGGAAGTGTCATTGAAAGGCCCCAAAACCCAATTAGCTGGACCCAATCCTGTATCATGTCCTGTTAACAGGGTACCAAGTTCCCAAACCAGAGGTCATCTTCAAGTTGGAGCAAGGAGAGGGGCCATGGACGTTGGAGGAGGAAACCCCACACCAGAGCTGCTCAGGTGAGTGAGTGTGACCTAGGCAGATGGGGGACATGGAAATAGATCTCAGTTTCTCTAGAAGAGGCTGATGCCTTTGAAAGGCTCTGAAGATATCTTATCTTGAAGGCTCGAAGCGTTTGGAGTTGTTTGGAGAGAGTTGGCAGAGCCCCTCCAATATCTGAATGCTCTCTCCAAGTATGACCCTTGCCGATACCCATTGTCTTCTTTGCTTGGCTTTTTGACAAGAAAGCTGTCTCTAATCTCTGTACCATGGATCACATACATACTACCCTATCTTACCTAGGGACTTTTTATTCTTCCTACTTCACTCCCACCCCCTTATCTTAGGTTCTTTTCTTGTACATTAGGTATTTTAAATTTTCTTCCCTTTTATTCCAATTCCTCATATCCATCCCTTATGCCTCCTCCCAAAGGCAACAGATCTAATGTGTTTGATCTTTGAATTTGTATGATATTCTCTTAAAGCCTGAAGTATTGGTTTATAAGTATGTATTTTTAGTATATATAAATTATATTGTGCTACATGTCTTTTTTTTAAACACTCTTTGTTTATACATTTTTAAAATTTATTTATTTTCCTTATTTTTTTGGCTGTGTCAGGTCTTAGTTGCAGCACACAGGATCTTCATTGAGGCATGCAGGATGTTTGGTTATGGCCTGCAGTCTCTTCATTGCTGCACTCATGCTTCTTTCTAGCTGTGGCTCGTGGGCTTCTCTCTAGTTGTAGCGTTTGGGTTTTCTCTCTCTAATTGTGGCACATGGGGTCCAGGGCGCACAGGCTCAGTAGTTGTGGTGCGTGGGCTTAGTTGCCCCCTGGGCATATGGGATCTTAGTTCCCCGACCAGGGATAGAACCCGCATCCCCTGCATTGGAAGGCAGATTCTTTACCACTGGACCACCAGGGAAGTCCCTGTGCTACATGTCTTAATTATGTTCCTTTTTTTCACTCACCCCTAAGGTCTGTCCGTATTGCAGTGCTCATCTGGCTTCATTCATTCAAATTGCTGCATAGTGTTGCACAGTGTGCTAGCACCACATCTTATTGAACCATACACCCAGTGGTGAAACCTAGGTTTCTGTTAGCTGCCATTTAAGACAAACAACTCTACAATAAATTTCTACACAGATGTTCTCTTAGAGTGTGAGAATTTCTCAGGGATGTATATAGAAGAGAGGGTTTGCCTGATCATTGCATATTCTCATACTGAATTTGAGCACCACCGTATTCTTCTTGAATTGGCTGCACTAATCTACTCTCCCAGCAATAGGGCACAGGGTTCTTCCTTTCCTCGAGTTTCTGCCAAGAATTAATATTACCAGAGTTTCTCATTTTGGGGCCAACTATGGGTATAAAGTGATATCTCATTTTTTATTTCTCATTTCTCCAATACCTAGTTTGAGCATTTCATTATTGACCATTTGTGGTCTCTTTGAGTTTCTCTCCTATGAGTGACCTTGCTCATGTTCCCCTAGTTTTGATTTGTTTCCTGTCTGTTTCATACTGATTTGCATCCAATTTATTGTTTGCCCCCTTTTCCAGCCTTGTCCTCATTATCCCCATAAATGAGGTTGCCCTACGGACCCTGTCTACTGTTCACCAGTCTTTTCTTCATATACATGCAAGGATTCATCCATCCTGAAATTCTGATGACTCTGTTTTTGACATCTCCAATCTGTTCTTCCCTGGTACTTTAGTACTACATTTAGCTACCCAGAAAGTTCCATTGAGATGTTTCTCTTGCTCCTCACTACATCAGAAATTGGAATCATTACCTCATGTATCAGAAACCCTTCTCACCTTCCAACTTTTCTCACATTTGTCAGTGTTTCTTAAATATTTCTGTCATTTTTAAGTTAATCACTCTACAGTTCCTTCTGCTTTTCCATTTCTGAGAATATCATTTTCAGTTCTCAGTTCATCTTCTTAGTTCCCAGCAATATCACCCAAAACCAGCTCCATATTTTCTTACGCCTGGATTATAATTTTTCTATTACTGATTGTATTTGCTGATTCCATTCGTTTTATTAGTTCACTTCAAAAGCTAACGATAAATTTCATTGCCTAAAATGTTCTATTTATCTTGACATTAGCTTTATGAAAAAACCTACAGTTATTCCCCATGACTTAGCATGTGACAATTAAACTCTTCATTCAGAGAGGCAAACAACATGGCCATGTATTTCGAATTCAAATGTGTATCTGTATATTTTGTATAACCTATGCTCAAGTCCATTTTTACCATAGTTTATGATTCTATGAGGTTTATTTATGTTAATAGTTCTATGAGTTTTGGGGAATTCCCTGGTGGTCCAGTGGTTAGGACCCAGCGCTTTCACTGCCAGGGCCTGGGTTCAATCCCTGGATGGGAAACAAAAAGCCTGTAAGCCACGTGGTGTGGCCAAAATAATAATAATAATAATAATTCTATGAGTTTTGACAAATGCATACAGTCATGTAACCACCACCACAATCAAGATATAGAACAAAAATTACCTCAGGTCCCTTTATTGCTACTTCTTCCCACCACTTCCAGACCTGGAAAATACTGATGTCTTTTCTGTCTCTATAGTTTTGCCTTTTCCAGAATGTCATATAAATGGAATCATACAGTATGAAGCTTTTTGAGCCTGGCTTCTTTCACTTAGCATAAAGCATTCAAAACTCATTCCTACTGTTGTGTTTTCCATAGTTTGTTCCTTTTTTATTTCTGAGTAGTATTCCATAGTATGGATGTATCACAGTTTATCCATTCACTAGCTGAAGGATATTTGGATGGTTTCCAGTTTTGGTGTTTATGAATAAAGGTGCTATGTTTATATATTTGTTTCCATATTTTGTGTGATATAAGATTTCATTCACTTGGGTAAATATCTAGGAGTCAGATTGCTGGGCTGTATGGTAAGTATATGTTTAACTTTACTAGAAACTGCCAAACTTTTCCAAAGTGGCTATACAATTTTCAATTCTAACCAGCTATGTATGAGAGTTCCAGTTGATCTGCATTCTCACCAGCACTTGGAATTGTCCATTTTTAAAACTTTTAGCCATTCTAAGAGTAAGATAGTTGTATCTTACTGTGGTTTTAATTGGCATTTCCATAATATCTAATATTTGACATCTATATATCTTCTTTGGTGAAGTGTTTGTACAAATCTTTTGCCCAGTTTTCTATAGGGAACATTGTTTTCTTATTGTTGAGTTTTGAAAGTTCATTATATATTATGGACACAAGTTATTTATCAGGTATGTGTTTTGTGAATTTTTTTATTTGCTTATCAGTGTCTTTCATGAGGCACTTAAAATTTGGACAAAGTCTAATTTATTTTTTTTCTTATGTTATGGATTGTGTTTTTGGTGTTGTATCTAAGAAATCTTTACCTAATCCAAGGTCCCCCCAAAAATTAGGTCTTACATTTAGTTCTGTGATGCATTTTGCATTAATTTTTATATGTGATTTAAAGTATGGATCAGAGTTTTGTGTTTGTTCATTTTTGCACATGGCTATCCAATCATTTCAGCATCATTTATTTTAAAAAAAAAGCTATCCTTCTCTCAACTGAATTGCCTTTGCACCTTTATTGAAGATCAGTTGTCATATATATGTGGGTCTCTTTCTGGACTCTTCATTCTGTTCCATTGATCTATTCATGTATCTTTACACCATTCCCACACTGTCTTGATAAGTGTAGCTATGTAATAAATTTGAAATCGTGTCATATTAGTCCTCCAACTTTGTTCTTCTCTTTCAAATTGTTTTGGCTATTCTAAGTACTTTGTGTATCCATTTGAATTTTACAGTCAATTTTTCAATTTCTATGAAAGTGAATTTTGATTGTGATTACATTGAATCTATAAGTCAGTTTGGAGAGAATTAACATCTTAACATTATCAACTCTTCCAATCCAAATATATAAATGATTTGATAATTTATATATTGCAAACTGATTACCACCATAGCATTAGCCAACACCTCCATCCCATCACATAGTTACCATTTCTTTTTTGTGGTGAGAACATTTAAGGTCTACTCTCTAGGCAACATTCAAGTATATGACACAGTATCATTATCTATAGTCACCATGCTGCACATTAGATTTCCAGAACTTGTTCATCTTATAACTGGAAGTTTGTACCCTTTGACCAATAGCTCTCCATTCCCTCCACCCTCCAGTCCCTGGGAACCACCACTCTACTCTCTGCTTCTCTGAGTTTGACTTTCTTAGATTCCACATACAAGTGATAATACCATGCAGTATTTGTCTTTCTCTGACTTATTTCACTTAGCATGATGCCCTCAACGTTCAGACAAGTTGTAGCAAATGGCACAATGTCCTTCTTTCTCATGGCTGAATAATATTCCATTGTATATATATACCACATCTTTATCCATTCAGTGTGGACAGACACTTGGGTTGTTTTCATGTCTTGCTATTGTGAATAATGCTGCAATGAATATGGGAGTGCAGATATCTCTAAGAGATCCTGATTTCAATTCCTTGGGATATATACCCAGAAGTGGAATTGCTGGATCATACAATAGGTCTCTTTTGAATTTTTTGAGGAAACTCCATACTGTTTTCCATAGTAGCAGCACCAATTTACACTCCCACCAACAGTGCACAAGTGTTCCCTTTTCTCCACACCCTCATCAGCATTTGTTATCTCTTGTCTTTTTGATGAAAGCCATTCTAACAGGTGTGAGGTGTTATCTCGTTGTGGTTTTGACTTGCATTTCCCTGAGGATTACTGCTATCAAGCACCTTTTCATGTACCTGTTTGCCATTTGTATGTCTTCTTTGGAAAACTGTCTGTTCAATTCTTCTGCCCATTTTTTAATCAGTTTTTTTTCTGCTATTGAGCTGTATATGTTCTTTATATATTTTGCATATTAACTCCTTATCAGATATATGACTTGTAAATATCTTCTCCCATTCCATAGGTTGCCTTTTCATTTTGTTGATTGTTTCCTTTGCTGTGCATTTTTTTTTTTCTTGCGGTACGCGGGCCTCTCACTGTTGTGGCCTCTCCCGTTGCGGAGCACAGGCTCCGGACGCGCAGGCTCAGCGGCCATGGCTCACGGGCCCAGCTGCTCCGTGGCATGTGGGATCTTCCCGGACCGGGGCACGAACCCGTGTCCCCTGCATCGGCAGGCGGACTCCCAACCACTGCGCCACCAGGGAAGCCCCTGCTGTGCATTTTTAATGTTTTCTTGATGTCTGCCATATTTGATAGTGTTCCCCTAATCTGACTCTTTATTCTGTGCTCTATCTATTTAGATGATACATTTTCACCTTGTGATCAGATTTCACTATTTCATGAAATGGCTCTTAATTACTCCAGAATATATGGCTCTTTCTTTTTTCTCATCCTCCATCCCACAGGAACTCACAGAAAAACATAGGATTTTAGACTGTGTGGTAACTAAGGCTTTTTTTACCTCTAAGTTTTTTAGAAAGCTCCCAGAATTAAGAGCCTATTTCTCAGATTCACAGACATAGAGAACATACTTGTGGTTGCTGAGTGGGGGAGGGGTGGACTGGGAGTTTGGAATTAACAGATGCAAACTATTATATATAGAATGGATAAACAACAAGGTCTAACTGTATAGCACAGGGAACTATATTCAATATCCTGTGATAAACCATAATGAAAAAGAATTTTAAAAAAGATCCATTCTTACACTGAAAAAAAAGAGCCTGTTTCTTATTGTATAACTTGGGACCTAATCAGGAGAGAGAAACCACATACTAATTTGAACACGGAAAGTTTAACAAAGAATTATTAGTGCCACTGCAATGAGAAGCCCACGCATCGCAACAAAGAGTAGCCCCCACTCGCTGCAACTAGAGGAAGCCCACGTGCAGCAACAAAGACCCAACGCAGCCAAAAATAAATAAATAAATAGATTTGAAAAAAAGAATTATTAGCTATTGTGGGATTGAGGTAACAAGGGATTAGCCAGCAAAAGTAAAGAGAACTCTAAAGAATAAAGGAATAGCAAATTAGTGTGGGAGAGTATCTCTAAGGCTGTGAAGGAACACCCAAGGAAGCGCCTCCCCTGCTTCCCAGGGATGAATCCAGACCTTATAGGGAAGGCATATCCATGGCTCACAGCATGGCAGCTGTCATGCCACACTGGTTGAACTTACTGGAAATCTACCCTCTGAGGTTCCAGAAAAAGCTGATCATAGGGAAGTGTCTCATTGGAAATATTCCACTACAAGCCACCTGAGAGGGGTGCCAGGATAAACTGCTGGGTGCTGGGTGCTTCTGGCTGCAATGCACTGCAGAAGCTGGGTGCTTGGGAAGCCATATGAGTGGCAGGAGCTGGGTGCTAAAGAAGTGACCTGCACTGCAAGATCTGGGTGCTTGGGAAGCTGCATGTGCATTAGGAGCCAGATGCTGCTGAAGCCACCACACTGCTGAAGCCTGGTAATAGACAAGCTGCCCTTGCTGGAGGAGCCTGCTGAGTGAGCTCACTAGAACCAGGAAGCAAAATCCCTTCCTCCAGTGTTTCCCCATCACCCTGTATTGACAAGGTTCAACATCATGCCAGATGGCAAAGGAAAAAAGACTCAGATCCATTTTTGTAGAGCGGACAAGGAAGGGTGAATTGGAGGTTGAAAGGCAAAAAATTGATAACTGTAACACTTACTCTTCAGTTTTCTGAAGCCAAGCATGGAAAATATTTAGTAAACTTAAATTTATTGAATTTGGGAAGATAGGCAGAGGAGGATATTTTTCTCTCTTTCAGAAGGATCCTTCAAATATTTGATCAGAAGAATTCAAAAAACCATAGATTATATTTGGAAAGGGAAGATAATTGCATGAAATGTTAATAATTTCAGGCTCTGTGTGTTAATTCTCTCTGTTATAACACAAAACTGTGCCAAATTTAGTATCAATATGAGTGGTACTGTGTCTGCTTTATACATTCATAGCAGATATACCCTCCCTAGAGGTGTACTAAAATTAGAGCTGATATCAAGGACAATACCTTCTGAATATGCACAGAGGAGCAAAGCAACAAGCTTAATATAACTGTATCCTCTCTTACATAAGCATTCTCAGGTGAATGGGTGCATTCAACAAATCAACTCTGATCTTGTTGGGTCATTCAAGGACCATGTTCCAAGTTATTGCTCTGCCATCTCCTAGAGTATTGTTGTCAGCTGGGTGGTTGATGTTGGGTCATTGTTGAGTCCTCTGGGCTGGGGAAGGGGGAATGGGGGAGATTTGCCCACTGTCTTAAAGCCTGGCCTAGGAGTGGTACATATCACTTCTGCTCATATTCCACTGGTGAGGACAAAGTGAGACTGGTAAACGTAATGCCCAGCTATGTTCTATTACTATAAAAGAAGAGGTGAATAGATTTTGGTGGATGGCTTGCAGTTTCTGCCATAGATGGTTTGCCCTCTCCTATTTGACACTTGTTGAAAGCATATATTTTTCCTATAGATATAGAGGAATTGGTATTTGAGGACTATAAATTTAATGTAGATGCTCATAATGGTTCAGAGGGAAAAGCAAGAGGAAGCAGAGAGATTATTAATGTTTTAGACCTAATATGTAATAAGGACATACATTCTGAAATATTTCTTCCATTCAGGCTTACCTTTAACGGACTTCAGTTTCTTCTTCTGGTTACTCTACTCACTGTCCTGACTTCCTACATAGTGGATATAGATTCCCAGGTTCAAATCCCATCTCTTATTTATTTAGCTATTTTTTTGATTAATTTCTTTTTTTTTTTTTTTTTGCTGTGTTGCATCTTCGTTTCTGTGCGAGGGCTTTCTCTAGTTGTGGCAAGCGGGGGCCACTCTTCATCACGGTGCGTGGGCCTCTTACTATCGCGGCCTCTCTTGTTGCGGAGCACAGGCTCCAGACGCGCAGGCTCAGTAGTTGTGGCTCACGGGCCTAGTTGCTCCGTGGCATGTGGGATCCTCCCAGACCAGGGCTCGAACCCGTGTCCCCTGCATTAGCAAGCAGATTCTCAACCACTGCGCCACCAGGGAAGCCTTATTTAGCTATTTGATCTTCAGCAAGTTACATAACTTCTCTGTGCTTCTGTTTTCTCATCTGTGAAACATGATTGATAATGATAGCTACCTCTTAGGGTTTAGTGAAGATTAAATGAGCTGCTTTGTGTAAAGCACTTGGAAGTGCCTGGTGCATCATAAATGGTATATAATTGTTTTACATAGAGTAAGTGTTCTAGAAGAATTTCATATTACTATTTTCATTATTGTCATAAGAACTCTTCCATTTCTCTGTTCATCCTGTCCAAACTCCATGTACCCTCTATTCTCTGATAATTATTCTGGAGTCATTTTCATTTTTTTCTCTTTCTTTTTAGATGAGGATAATGGGCAAACCCAACAACAGAGAATTTCTGGAGAAGTTTCATTACACTGTGAGAAATTTGGTCAGTCCATAGGAAAAGATTCATTGTGTTCCATTGTAGAAGAACTGTGGCAAGATAATGACCGGCTAGAGAGATATCAAGAAAACCAAAATAACCCTTTAAGTCATGTGAAAGTATTGATTAAGGAGAGGGGCTATGAATGTAAAAACATTGAAAAAATAATTCACGTGAGTACCAGGCTTGTTCCTTCCATTAAAAGACTCCATAACTATGACACATTTGGAAAGAGTTTGAAGCATACTTTAAACTTACATAATCATAATAAAAGCAATGCAACAAAGAACTTTGATAAAATTTTTAGAAATGGCAACAATTTTGCCCATAGCTCTTCCTCTACTAAGAATGAGAATGCTAATACAAGAGCAAACTCCTGTGAACTTAATCAATGTGAAAAACATCTTGGCCACAAGCAAGTTCTCACCCACCATCAGAAAATTCATACTGAAGAGAAACTTTATGTGTGTACTCAATACGTACAGACGTTCACCCAAAAGTCACATCTTTTTGAGCATCAGAGAATTCATGCTGGAGAAAAATCCCATGAATGCAACAAGCGTGAGAACGTCTTCACTCAGAAGCCGCAAACTGAGGTACCTCAAAGTGTTTACACAAGAGAGAAACCTTTTATATGTACTCAATGTGGGAAGGCCTTTACACTCAGGTCAAACCTCATTACACATCAGAAAATTCATACTGGGCAGAAACCCTATAAATGCAGTGAATGTGGAAAAGCCTTTTTCCACAGATCATATCTCTTTAGACATATGAGAATTCATACAGGAGAAAAACCTTATGAATGCAGTGAATGTGGAAGAGGCTTCTCCCAGAATTCTGACCTCAATATACATCAGAAAACTCATACTGGAGAGAAACACTATGCATGCAGTGAATGTGGGAAAGCCTTCACAAGAAAATCAGCACTCAGGATGCATCAAAGAATTCACACAGGAGAGAAACCTTATGTATGCACTGAATGTGGGAAGGCCTTCATCCAGAAATCCCATTTCAATACACATCAGAGAATTCATACTGGAGAAAAACCTTATGAATGCAGTGATTGTGGGAAATCGTTCATTAAGAAATCACAACTCCATGTGCATCAAAGAATTCATACAGGAGAAAAACCTTATATATGTACAGAATGTGGAAAGGTCTTTACTCATAGGACAAATCTCACTACACATCAGAAAACTCATACTGGAGAGAAACCGTATATGTGTGCCGAATGTGGAAAGGCTTTCAGTGATCAGTCAAATCTCATTAAACACCAGAAAACTCATACTGGAGAGAAACCCTATAAATGCAATGGCTGTGGAAAGGCCTTCATATGGAAGTCACGCCTCAAAATACATCAGAAATCTCATATTGGAGAGAGACACTATGAATGCAATGAATGTGGGAAAGCCTTTATCCAGAAATCAACACTCAGTGTGCATCAGAGAATCCATACAGGAGAGAAACCCTATGCTTGTCCTGAATGTGGGAAGGCCTTCATCCAGAAATCACACTTCATTGCACATCATAGAATTCATACTGGAGAGAAGCCTTATGAATGTAGTGACTGTGGGAAATGCTTCACAAAGAAGTCACAACTCCGGGTGCATCAGAAGATTCACACAGGAGAGAAACCCAATATATGTGCTGAATGTGGAAAGGCCTTCACTGACAGGTCAAATCTCATAACACACCAGAAAATCCATACTAGAGAGAAACCCTATAAATGCAGTGACTGTGGAAAAACCTTCACCTGGAAATCACGCCTCACTATCCATCAGAAATCTCATACTGGAGAGAGACACTATGAATGCAGTAAATGTGGGAAAGCTTTCATCCAGAAAGCAACACTAAGTTTGCATCAGATAATTCATACAGGGAAGAAACCTTATGCTTGTACAGAATGTCAGAAGGCCTTCACTGACAGGTCAAATCTCATTAAACACCAGAAAACTCATAGTGGAGAAAAACTCTATAAAGCCAGTGACTGAAAATGCCTTCAGCTGGAAATCACAACTGGATATGCATCAGCTGTCTCATAGTGGAGAGATGAGGAGTGCCTGATGCATCAATCATTGTGCAGGGGGAGTAGATATGACAGACTACAAACAGCCTAAGTGAACAGAAGGCAAACAAAGCCAAGTATCCTTCAGTCAGGTGGAATACAAGTTGATATGCAATTATATGCATAGGGAGACACTTCAATAAAGCATTTGAGCAATAGCCCTGTTTGGTTTTATGATTCACACAGGTACTCTCAATCTCCTGCAAATGGTAGAAATAGAGACCCCAGGAGATGACTTGTAATCTCCTGTGTTTCACTTTTTGGATAAAGGGCTTTATAAATTCAGCACAGATTTGTCCTTCATACCTTGGGATGTAAAAGTCCTTAATACTGGCCATTTTTTTTTCAACTTTCTAGGGTGGGGAGAAGAGTATTCATTGTTCAAACACCTCCAGGGCACTGAAGTCAAGGCAAAAACCAATTTGGGAATGTATAATAAATCTATGAGTAGAAGCCAGAAGTTCTTGTTATCATTGACATTTAAGACACAGAAAATATTGCCCTGAGGAACCGTTCTTTCTCTTCCCTTTGAGAAGTCACCATGGTATTTTTTTTAAATTAAATAGAATTTTTAAACTTAAAGTCTGACTTTATGCATTGGCAAATTAAGCATATCTCTAGCCTATGTTACAGGAATAGAGTTATTAAATGTTACACACACCTAAAGGTGGCAATTGTTCCCTCATTAATTCTATGCTATGGCAGCAGGTGATTCACACTCGAAAATGGTAGGCATACCTTCTAACCTGTACCAAAAAAGCTATCATTTATGTAAGCTGCAGGCCATAAACTTCTTATCCCCTTAGTAACTGACCCTAAGACAATGAAACTGAGCCACAACACTCTGGACTTCCCATCTCATCCACTGAAGCTTCTGCTTTCTTTGGGATTTCTGTTTGAAAAACAATGGTTAAGAAATTGGATTTCAATACATAAAACTTTGGTGGTTTTTCTTCCAATTTAGTTAATTTGATATATTCATTTCCTACATGCACATTAAGAGTAATTTTGTGTACATTGCTATGGGATAAAGTCATGTTGCATTGTAGTTTTTTAGCCTAAGATATGATTATAGTTTATTATAGTTGAATAACTGGAAGACTTCTCTAGAAAGAACACTGCTTTTTTTAAAGCACTGATATATAAACGCTTTCTTGATTTCAGTTAAATGTTTTTTGCAATACTCATAAGAAAGGGGCTTTCTTTTTAGCATGTAATTTTATTTTGTTTTTAAACCTTTTTATTAAAGTATGCATACAGAAAATGCATATATCAAGCATACAGCTCAATGAATTCTCACAAACTGAACACTGATCAAGAAACAGAACATGACCAGCACCCCAGAAAAACTCCCTGTGCTCCCTTCCAGGCCTTACTGTCCACCTACCCCACCAGGTGAACACTACCCTGACTTAAATAGCTTTGTCTGCTTGGTATTTTATATAAATTGAGTCAAACAATTATATTGCATATTTTGGTAATATACTCTTAAGTGTTTATCTTCTTTCATTCACATTGTAAATATGAGATTTGTCCATATTGTTGAATGTAGTTATGGATAATTCTTATTGTCATGTTTTATTCCATTCTGTGAATACTCTACAATATATTTATCCATTCTATTATTAATGGACATTTGTGTTGTTTGCAGCTTGGGGCTATTGGGAATAGTGCTACTATAAATACTTTAGTACCTGTCTATTGGTGAACATATTTATGAACTTCTGTTAGGTATATATCTAGGAGTTGAACTGCCAGGCTATATGGTGTTCATGCTCAGCTAGTTTATAAAACTAGTTTTCCAAAGTGGCTTCGCCAATGTACACTCCCACCAGCACAGTATATGAGTTCTATTTGCTCCACATCTTTGTCAACACTTGGTATTTTCCATCATTTTTACTGTAGCCATTATGGTGGATGTATAGTGATATCTCAGTGTGATTTAATTTTTATTTCCTTATCCTCCAATCTCACCATCTTCCCAAGACAGTTGACTGATATCTCAGATCTGAAACCCAGGCATGGCTCTCATGTGACTGTACCATTTTACATCTCACCAGCAATAGTAAGTAATTAGTAACTAAATCTTTCCACACAAAAATGCCCAAAGCTTGATGGTTTAACTGGTTAATTGCATTAAACATTTGAGGAGAAATAATATCAACACTCCACAAAATCTTTCAGAAAATAGAGGAGGAAGGAACACTCCCCAACTCTTATGAGGCCAGTATTACCCTGATACTTAAGCCATACAAACACATCACAAGAAAATAAAACTACAGACCAACATTTCTCATGAACATAGATGTAAAAATCTTCAACAAAATATTAGCAAAATGAATCCAGCAACATATAAAAGGATTATACATCATGACCAAGTGGGGTTTATTCCAGTGATATAAGGCTGCTTCAACATTCAAAAATCAGTCAACGCAATCTACCATATTATATATACAAGGTAAAGAAGAAAAATCACATGATCTACAAATTCAATACAACTTTATCAAATTTCCAGCAGACTTTGTTCCCCAGAAATTGATAAGCTAATCCTAATATTTATATAGAAATAGAAAAGACCAAGATTAACAAACAGGAATTTGCTAAAAAGCAAAGTGGAAGGACAGTAACCTCCCAATTTCAAAACTATAAAACTACAGTAATCAAGACAGTATGGTACTGGCATGGGGATAGAGACATAGATCAATGGAACAGAACAGAGAGTCTAGGAATAAACCCTGATACTTATGGTAAAAATATTTTTTACAAAAGTGTGAAGGCAATTCATTGGGGAAAGAAAAGTCTTTTCAACATTTGGTGCAAGAATAATTACATATCCACATGCAAAAAGATGAATTTAAATCTACACACCATACTAAAAATTAACAAAAAAATGGATCAGATATGTAAATATAAAAGCTAAAACTATAAAAGTTTTAGCAGAAAACATAGGAGAAAAATCTCTGTGACCTTGTACTAGGCAAGGAATTCTTAAGTAGGACACCAAGAGCATGATCCATAAAGAAAAAATGATAAATTAGACTTCATCAAAATGAAAAAGGTTTAAACTTCAAAAGGTACCATTAAGAAAATGAAAAGACAAAGCACAGACAGGGAGAAAACACTTGTAAATCATTTACCTGATAAAGGACTTGTATCCAGAATATATACAGAACACTTACAACTCAATAAAAAGAGGACAAGCAACCCAGTTTAAAATTAGGCTGAAGATTTGAAGAGATATTTCACCAAAAAATATATACAAATAAGCACATGAAGAGATGCCCAACATCACTAGTCATTAGAGAAATTCTAACTAAAACCACAATGAAATACCACTTTATATGTACTAAAACGGCTAAAATAAAAAAAAAATTATAATAAATGTTGGCAAGGATATGGAAAATCAGGAACTTTCCTACATTTCTGGTGTGACTGCATTAAAATGGTATAGCCATTTTGGAGAAGTTTGGCAGTTTCTTAAAAAGTTGATCATAAATTTACCAGAGGACCCAGTACTGCCATTCCCATTATCTACCCAAAAGATATGTAATGTTTTCGTGCAAACACTTACACTTGAATATTCATAACAGCATTATTCATACAAGACAAAAAGTGGAGACAATCCAAATGTCCATCAACCAGCAAGTAGATAAACAAAATGTGGTACATTCAGCAATAAAAAAGAACAAATACTAATAAATACTACAGCATGAACTGTTCAACTATGGATGAACTTTAAAAATATGCTAAGTGAAAGAAGTGAGACACAAAAGATCTAGTATTGTATTTGCCTATTGTATTTATATGAAATGTCCGCAAAAGTAAAATACAGAGATCTGTAGATTAGTGGTTGTCTGGGTGTGAGAATGGGAATCGTCATTAACTGTTAATTAGTACAAGGAATCTTATTGGGGTGATTGAAATGTTACAGAACTTGATTGTGATGATGGTTGCACAACTAGGTAAATTTAATAAAGGTCATTGAGGTGATCCTTAATTCCATTCCTGTTTAAACATCTGGGTTCCCTGCCATAACATCTGTTGCCACCCATATCTAGAATGAAGTGTTGTCTTGGAGCTTGTTGTACATTTAAGAATAAACTTTTGTTTTTTTTAAAAAGGTCATTGAACTGTACAATTTAAATATGGATCCTAAATTATACCTCAATAAAGTTGTTTCTTTTTCAGAGTTGTTTTGGCTATTCTACATCCTTTACATTTCCATATAAATTGTAGAATAAGTTTGTTCATTTCAACAACAAAAAAAGCTGCTGTGATTTTTACTGAGATTGGTTTGAATCTATAGACCAATTTGGGGAGAATTGAAATGTTAACAATATTGAGTTTTCTGACCCATAAATCAGGTATATCTCTCTGTTTAATTTCTCTCAACAATATTTTGTAATTTTCAGTGTACAGGTCTTTCACATCTGACAAATTATTCCCTAACCATTTCACATTCTGATGCTATTTTACTTGGTGTTGTCTTATTTCCACTTTATTGTGTAGTATTCATTTTTCGTTTCAATTACTTATTGTTAATTACTAGTATATAGAAAAGCAATTGATGTTTGTATGCTTATCTTGGGCAGAAGTTGGAACAGTCCCCACACAAGACTGCCCTCACTCTGACACCAATTGCAAGTTCAAGGGTTCACCCTCAGTTTCAATAATTCAAATCCATCCTGTAAAGCCATTACATGCATTTTCATATTTTTATACCAATTTTATTACTCTTCCTCTCTGATCTACCTCTATTTATACCTTATGATAAACTTGTGTGGAACTATTTAGCATAGAGATTAGCTGATGGTTAGCTAAATCCAATTCTTCCTTAAGCTAGTCATTTGCCATCAGTGTTATATCCTGAAAAGTTTTTAACTCAATTTCCCCATGTATTTGACCATCAATATAAATATAGTCTTAGCAACAACAGCAGTGTTACACCATATTATAACATGATAGTAGATGTAATCTGCATACAACACCGTACCTATAGTCAACATAATGTACTGTGCATTTAAAATTTGTCAAGAGAGTAGATGTCTTGTTAAGTGTTCTTTCTAAAATAAAGTACTCAAAAGATATTGGCACGTTCATCTCCCAGAACAATATCACTCGGTTTGCAGACTTCTATTTGACCTTCTCAGGTTCCAAA